TTTCTTTCTTTCTTTCTTTCTTTCTTTCTTTCTTTCTTTCTTTCTTTCTTTCTTTCTTTCTTTCTTTCTTTCTTCCTTCCTTCCTTCCTTCCTTCCTTCCTTCCTTCCTTCCTTTCTTTCCTTGTGAAGATATGGTCATTGCCCTCTACCAGCCATCTGGCACTTCCTCTTTTCTCCAAGATTTTTTAAACCTTATAACAGTTGAATAAAGGTCCAGCAAGGCCATCTGTTCCTGAGGATGTAGTTAATTTAACCCCGAGGAATTAAACTTATACCAAGTGAATAGTTGTTGCCTGGCCTTGTTCTTATCAGCCACTTCATTCTGCCTAGTAGAATCCATGTTCTCTTGCTGGAGAAGTTTTGAGATAAAATTGAAGATGAATAGCTTGGACTTTTCTTTGTTAAAGGCATTTTTGTATTTTGTTTTCCCTCCATTTTGAAAATGTGCTGCATTCTTTTTAGCATCATTATTGGTTTTATATAACTTTCATTGCATGATGCATTAAACAGGCCTCATTCATTTAGTGACTGCTCAAAATTATAACAGCACCGGAAAAAGTGACTTAACGATCAGTTCTTGCACTTACACTTACACAGCATCCCTATGGTCACATGATCAAAATTCAGGAGATTGACAACCAACATGTAATTACATTGGTTGCAACATCCTGGCATCATTTGATTGCTGTTTACAACTTTCCCAACCAGATTCTGACAAGCAAAATCAATGGGGGAAGCAGAATTCACTTAACGATTGTTTAACAATCACATATGAAGAACGGTTACAGGAACTGGGCATGGCTAGTCTAGTGAAAAGAAGGACTGGGGGAGACATGATAGCAGTCTTCCAGGAGAGGAAGGGGTCAAGCTATTTTCTAAAGCGCCTGTAGGCCAGACCAGGAATAATGGATGGAAACTGAACAAGGAGAAATTTAACCTGGAAATTATGTGAAACTTTCTGACAGTGAGAACAATCAATGAATGGAACAGCTTGCCCTTGGAACTTGAGGGAGCGCCATCACTTGAGACTTTCAAGAAGAGATTGGACTCTCATCTGTCAGAAATGGTGTAGGGTCTCCTGCTTGGGCAGGGAGTTGGACTAGATGACCTACAAGGTCCCTTCCAACTCTGATTATCTATTATCCTGTTACTTAGCTCTATCACCACCTTGCTTAGTAATGAAAATTTTGGTTCCAGTTGTGGGTTCTAAGTCTTATTAATATTGTTATTATTTTACTAACATACATTATGTAAAATTATTCTATATTTTATGCTTGTCTGCACATTGTTCCAAGTGATTTTTGTATATTACTAAAAATTCCACAAATCCTTAAATATAAGTGTCACTTAAATTACACATCTGAGCAATATCTGTGTACTCAGTTGAATAATTTCTGTTCATTTTGGATCCATTTTATGGAAGAGTATCTACAGAATGTAATTGCTCTTTATAAGAATTTCATTAATGTTCTTTTTTTGGAAAAATTCTGCTTATTTCTTGCTCCACTCTATTGATGTCCTGGAGAAAATCCATCTATAGTACATGGTTGCTAAAATTGACACTGATTAGATGGCCCATAATCAATAAGTGAATGAATCAATCACTATATTTTGGGTTTTTCTCCATGGGTACAAAATGCACGTTAAGCATTCATCATCTACATATCAACAAGCACCCTGACTCCTTAGGCTGTGTTACTATTTAATAGTATCTATTATACTAATCTAGAATTTATTTGGACTCCATCGTATGTATAAATAATATTTTTGTTATAGAAAATTCAGTTCAAAAACAATATAGAATTTCCAACATTCCCTTCAGTTTTAGGTGTTTTATCCCTAATAACTCACTTTAGAGAATTTTGTTCCATCAAGCTGGACACTTTTCTGCCAAGGTAAATAGAGAGTGCAAGGTGAGAGGTGTTTCATGCAAATAGATAGCATAATTTCTTATTAAATATTCTATATTTTTTCTCACTAATTTTTAGAGGAAAAGGCATTGACTATAATCTTAAAGTCTTCTCAGCAATGACCGTGTCATTCTTGCCTTTTGCATTTTAATTAATGTTCTTGTTAATAACAGCGTTGAAATGCCTGTGTTGCATAAGAAACATTGTTGTTTTGTTCCTGATGACTAATACAAATTAGTGTGGGTTTTTTCTTCCAGTGTTTCAAGGCAGTTGCCCTGTACACCTAACTTCTGTTTCTTTTAGGCATTTTTCTTCCATGAACTCGTTTCAATTTGAATGTGATAGCTATTACTCCTAAACAGCAGAAGTAATATTCTGAAGTTTACACATTAGCTTGCTTTCTGTCTTTACAAAGATGGGATGCCTAAAATATGTTCACTTTAAATATTGGTTATTCATTTCACACTCGTCAGTGCAGAATGTAGCTATATCATATCATAATTATGTTCATGTGTTGATAAGCAATTAATATTTATGTATTATGTTGACTCTGTAAACTGCTTAGAGAGGCCATAAAGCACTGTGAAGCGGTATATACAGGGGTAGGATTTCTACTGGTTTGGTCCACCTCTGTAGAACTGGTAGCTCTGAAAAGCAGCAGACATAGAACTGGTTCTGTGTCTGCTGCTGTTTTGGCCCACCTACCCGCCTGGGCTCTTACCTGACCTTTATTTCCTGGTTTTTCAACCTCAGCTGCTTTGTGCGGCACAGCTGCGGTTGAAAAATCAGAAAAAAGTGCTTTTTCAACCACTGCGCACCTGTGCGCAGTGCTGCTCAGCTGTCTAGGCACCAAGCTGACGACGATTCACATGCGTGTGCAAATCATAAATCACTGAACCGGTAGTTACACCGGTCGGATCCCACCCCATGGTATATAACTCTAAGCACTATTGCTATTATCCCAGACATTGCAACTGTGATTCCCAAACATTGCATTTGTGATTTTCCAGCTCTCTGAAATCATGAGGTTTGGCAGCTAAATGGCTGGTTTTCTTCTAGAAACCTAACACTCACTTAGATTAAGTTTAATTGGGGGCATCTATAATCTGTGTTTGTCTTGAGAAAAACTTGTACAGAAATACACACTAAAGATCACAAAGACATAAATACTATAAACAAATTCACAAATGTATCATGCAAATGAAAATCATGCTGTCATCAGGGACAAAATATTACACTTTATGATCTACGTTTGGATAATGCATTTTAGTGCAGACTGCAGACGAGTCCAAAGTGCAGAGAAGTGCATTTTCGTTCAGATAATGCAGAGAAGAACAACGAAGATGATTAGGGGACTGGAGGCTAAAACATTTGAAGAATGGTTGCTGGAATTGGGTATGTTCTGTTTAATGAAAAGAAGGACTAGGGGTGATATTGATGGCAGTGTTATAATATCTAAGGGGCTGTCACAAAGAAGGGGGAATCAATCTATTCTCCAAAGCACTTGAAATAGGACAAGAAACAATGGATGGAAATTAGTCAAGGAGAGAACCAACCGAGAACTAAAGAGAAATAGCCTGACAGTTAGATCAATTAATCAGTGGAGTGGCTTATCTCCAGAAGTTATAGGAGGTTTTTAAGAAGAGGTTTGATAACCATTTGTCTGAAATGTTATAGGATTTCCTGCTTGAGCAAAGGGTTGGACTAGAAGACTTCCAAGGCCCCTTCTAACTCTGTTATTCTGTGAATCTGTTGTTTTTATTCTAACTTACTATAGAACACAGATCAAATAGATTCAAACCAATCTACTATATTGAGCCAGTATGAGAGGACAGCTTTTGTTTAACTTAACATGAGATATGCAGATAACTAGCACATCAGTGAATTCAGCTTTGATCACTAGGGTTCAGAAGCTAGTTTCAACTCAACTAATTTAAAGCAAGTTCTCACCTAGTGTTTTATATTCAGATATGGAATAGACTTTTTTGTATTAGACAGCACATATAGTATTTAGATGTTGCATGTATATATAGCACGTGCCTCAGATGCAGGATCTGATTCTCTAAATGTTAGTCATTTCTAGATGATAAGAGATAAGATGGGTGGAGTAGGAATCAGGGAACCACCTATAGCAATAGTATTTAGAGGTGGGTATTCAGCAGGTTCTGACCAGTTCTGGAGAACTGGTAGTGGAGATTTTGAGTAGTTCAGAGAACCAGGAAATACCACCTCTGACTGGCCCCACCCCCATTTATTCTCTGCCATCTGATTGGCTGGGTCTTCTTTAGTTGCCCTGCACAGGAAAATGGTGCTGGAAATCAGGTTAGTGGGTTGGGAAAGGAATGGGGATTTTGCAATAACCTTCCCCCGGGAGTGGGGAGGGAATGGAGATTTTACAGTATCCTTCCGCTGCCACGCCCACCAAACCATGCCACGGCCACCAAGCCACACCCAAAGAACCGGTAGTAAAAAAAATTGAATCTCACCACTGATTTAGACTGATATACCTCTCCAAAGTGCTTTACAGCACTCTCTGAGTTCACATTTTACCAACCATGGAAGGATGGATGAGTCAACCTTGAGCCAGTCAGGATCAAACTCCTGGCTATAGGCAGCATTAGCCTGCAGTACTGCATTCTAACCATTGCACCACCAGACTCATATGCACAATTGAAACACTGCCTTTTTTTTTTTACACATGTGTCATACAGCTGTACTTGAACAATCATATTTGTAGGAGAAGGACTGGCAGAGGCAAGAGGCAGAGTTAAAAAAAGGGATCAGCCTAGAATCCCTACATAGCCACAGATGGACTAAGTCGACACCCCCCCCCCCCAAATTTGGTTGACTCTCATCTAACTCCAAGCAGGTGCTGATCATTAGTTGAGAAGATCCCTGTGCATAGGATTTTTAGCAATAAATCAATTTAATAGGACTTTCATGTAACAATGGACTTCATCTAACAATGTTACTTTTAATGAATGGAATGCTTAAAGCAGCAGTACTTTTCTTTCAGAGCTGTTCAAAAGCCTGAAAAATATCAGGTGGCTTTAACGAATGTCACATATGTTCGGTACTCATACTTGTATATGGTTCCAAGCAATTCTTCTGCATAATTTTTGAAGCATGCACAACTTCTTGGAATATGACATTTCTTTAGGATGCAAAGCTTTAAGTCAAGAAATAGAATTTCTGTTGACTGACATAGGCAGACAACTTGTGCAGAAGTATGCAAGAGGAGCCCAGTATTTCTGATGTAACGTTTGCTCAACCTGTTTGTTGTTCTCTGCACTTTCTGTGTTTGCAGTCTGTGGCAAGCGCTATAAGAATCGACCAGGACTGAGCTATCACTATGCTCACACTCATCTTGCTAGCGAGGAAGGGGATGATGCTCAGGAACAGGAGACATGTTCACCACCTGTCCACAGAAATGAAAATCATAAACGTGAGTAGGATATATGTGCCCCTTATATTTTAGAATGTAAAGCTCCAGTCCCTATTATACCCTCCCACCGCTGCATCCATCTTTGCATTACAGTTATGGCTATGCTTACTTTGCTCCTCTGTGAATTGTGAGGACCAGGCTTTTTAATGGGACTAATCAGCTGCAGCTTTTCCAGATGCTGAGCTCAGCTAATCCCAAATTTGTCTCAGATCTCCCATTAGCTTAGCAGCGGGTCGCTTGCCATCACTGTTCCTCTGGGATGAACATGTGGAGAAGAGACAAGACAAACAGTTTTGTAGTGGTTCCTTTTGAGAACAACATATATGTTCCCTTTTCATTTCTTTTTCCTTCTTGTCACTGGACAAAATTCCCCAAGTTTTGTAAAGTTCCCTATTAAGGGATCAAATAAGAGACAAAGATCTTGGTTAAAGAAAAAGATTTACTGTTGGCTTTAGGTCCAACAATATTTTTTTGCTCCCGAAGCATTTGAACATTATCAAAAATGCATTGAGGTTCTATTTGCCTCATTTTTTTATGACAGAAGGTTGGATGTTGGATTGAAAAGTGAACCCTTTATAAATTTTTATAAAACATTGCACCTTTCTAAGAGAGTAAATGGCTGTAGGAACACGTTGCTTCTCTATAATGTATTTTATAATATGAATGTGTTATTGGAAGTAAAATAAAATTGGTGGTATGATGTAACTCTCTATTGATAAGGAGAAATGGGGAAATGTTGAGTTGCATACCTGTCAAAGCAGCTTAAATAATAATGTTTTTTTTATCAGATGAAAGTATAGCTTTAAACAGGCTTTTAGTCTTTTTTTAGAAGTATAATTCTAAATTAGTATAAACTGCTATTTTGTTATATTTGGTGGTATAATATGTGCTTCTTTTATTTTTTTATTTTTAATAAGTAAATATAAAAACTATAAAAGAAGAGAGGAAAGCTGGAAAAAAATAATGTATAACAATACATATCAATAACTTGAAGCCAAGATTCATTATAGTCATCTATGGTTTTCTATATTAATCAATTCTGTAAACCACAGAATAGTTGGAGGCTTATATTTATCTTTCTAATGCTGAACTATTCAACTTTTTATTGTAAATCTATTTTCTTTGTCTGGAAATCAACTCCCATGTGATCGAGATAAAATGTAAACTTATGAAAATATTAAATCTCATTGAATTAAGATTTTTTTTTGATAATCTGAAGCATATGTGATATTTCTTTTAAAATATAATAGATACAGTATAAAAAATAAAATTGAAAATATATGCAAGGAAAATCCCTAATTATTCTGTGAATCAATTAGCTAATTTATTAATGCCAATGCAATGGCTAACAATAATTTTCTATGAATTATTTTACATATTTCATAAAAATATATTGTCAATTTTCCTTGTTTTGAAAAAAAAAATCCACAATATAATTTCATACGTTTTTAGAACTATCATCCCACAAGACTGCCAATAACAAAAAATAGAAGAAGCAGTGGGTAGCTATCTACATTCATTGTGTTTATTTATATTGTTTTATATGTTACTGCCAAGGGTCAGATTAAAATGGCTGTTATAAAAATATTTCTAATAAAATAATTACATTAATAAATAAACAGCCCCAAGTCATCAAGTATCTTAAGTCAATTATTCAATCTTCAGTTGTTCACCAACCATAACTCAGCATGGAGAAAGTTTCATATTAAATCCACTTTCATGTTTCTGGCAAATGTGATGACACTGATAGGACCTCCCTTTCATCCAGAGCTGTTTTATGGCAGAGGATGAAAAATTTGGAAAGCATGGAATCAAATATTTTCAGTATTGGATAAACAGTCAAAATACATTTAAATGGATTGCCTGACATGATAAAGTCTCTTAAAAAGTATATGCAGTGAATTAAATAAACAGATGTAGTAGCCAAAAAACATTCATTTTGCTACTATATCATCATGTCTTTTAACTCCTAAGTTTATTGTCCCTTCCCAGATCAGGTGAGTCAAAAAGTTCTAGCCCTTGAAATCCTTTTGTTCGGAATGGTTACAATTTTGCAAGAATTCTTATGGCTAATGGTAAATTGTTAGAGCTGGGCTGAGTCTGCAGAGTGGTGGTTTAGAGGTCTCGGACTTTTCCCAGAAGTCTGTTTCATTCTGTATGTTCCCCTATCTGGTTGTCAGCCAGTGGTGTTTATAGGGTGAGTCAAAAGTTCCAGTTGTTGTAATGTAATTAAATCCCTTGCCCCTTGTATAGTAATGCTCCCGGTATGTGAATGGATTCACACATTATCCTTTTGGAATTGTAGAAAGGTGTAATCAGATTGTCCCAAAGGTGCTTTTCAAAAGGCAACTGGACTTCCTTGTTTTTCCCTCCCTTTCCTCAAAAATGTTTTGCTTCTCATCAAAGAAGCTTCTTCAGCTCTGTCATTTGTCTTTTGAAAAGCACCTTTGGGACAACCAGGACCTAGATAATTGAGAATCTCCATACATACGTGTAACACATTATTTGACTTTTTGACCAAATTAAATATTCTGTGCCAACCACAGTGGTTTCCAGATTGTTTCAAGTGAAAATTGGAACTGATGACTGTGGCTAATGTCAAGGAGCCAATCTTCTTTGGCCCTCTCTGAAGAAAGAGAGGAGGAGAGATTGTCTATATTGTGCTCCATAGGGTCACTCCTCATGAGGAGACTGCAAGGCAGCAGTCTGTGGAAAATGGGGGAACCAGGAGGTGAGGCAATTTGCCATTCTTGCTCCAACAGCTTTGAAAAATACTGAGTTCACACTTCAATTCTTCACATAACAAAATGAAACTATATAAGCTTTACGACTTTAAAATAAACAATACATGCCTTTACCTATAGAAAGTTTTTAATGAATTAAGAAAGCATTAGAATATTTGATTTTGCTTATTAAGAGTTTTGAAATTAATTTTAAAGAATAAATGCCTTTTCACAAGAAAGCAAAATTATTGTTGATATTGGAGACATAATAAGATAGGTAACTTAAAGTGATTGTTAGGAATGTAAGTCACCTAACAGCTATTTGGGTTGGAAATATATAAACCAGGATAGACATTTTAATACTGTCTCTTTAAGAAAAAGCAAAATTTGTAATTGGGTGTGGTTTCTCAAATGGCCATAAGATAGAGCCAAAACCTGGGTTGTCTTAGTCTTAGTCTCAGAAGAAGTCTCAGTGAGTCTCTTTTTCCTTCTGTTGGAGAATATTGCCATTCCTTCTAATTGACTGCTTATTCCTGGATTTGATGTAAGTCTTATACTGAACTGTTTTTGACACTGGACTTTGTTATTGGATTATCCCTGGATTGAAAACTGACTGATTTTACCTGTGAATGACTTTGGACTGTGTCTGAACTTTGCTTAAACATTTGTGGAAGTAAAAACCTACATTTACTGTACAGTGTATCTGTGTGCTGTGTGTATATTATTCAAACACTACTCTCACTACGTCTCCCTTTATGCGCTTATTCTCCTAACAGGGAATTACCTCAACAGTGATATTCAGAGATACTTTTGAGGAATTGCACAAAGACTTTGTATCAACAATGTTCACTGTGTTCTTATGTGTTCTTATGACAAGCCATTTCTGGAAGAAACTATTTCCGAAAAAGATGATTGTAGACAACAGCATAAACTAGATTTTAGTGGATATACAAAATAATAATAATAAAAAACCACATGAGGTTTTAAAGTTAAGAAAGAAAGAAAAAATATCAACTCCAGAGACCTGGACAAAGAGAAAAAAATCATTGCCCATTGGGATTGCCTATAGATAAAAGTTGATGATAAGGAGTGAATAATTTTATATCTGTTAATAAGCAGAAGATTAATAAATAGGAGGTGAAGAGGCAATCAAACTATTTCTACTTGTGAAGAGGTTGAGAAGTTGTTCTTTTATTTTGTCTTTTCTCTATTTTTTAAAATCAAATCAGGAAATGAGCTTTTTGAAAAGATGTATTTTGTTAGCCATAAACTGTCCTGGTTCTGCCAAGGTGTCTACTTTGAAATCCCTCACTATATGTATCTGCAGTACTTTATTTCTATCTCTCTATTCATCTCTCCATCCATTTACCAACAGCCTACACATAATTTTTAAAATCTGAAAGGGAAGAGAAGAATATTGCAAACACTTCATGGGCTTGTGGAATATTACGTATCATAACTTTATTCTAACTACTGGAAATAATATTCAGCTACCTCTTTGAATTCTGAGATTTCAGTGGCTATTCTTCAAACATTTTCAGGAAGGTCATTTGCCATCCTAAGAGTCAGAAATTGCTTTTTAAATGAACTTGCTTAAATGAAGTTGTCTGCCCCCACTTGTCTGTGATTCCATGGAAGTTGGATCATACACCTGATTTGAGGTTATTAAGATATTTGCCTATTACAGAAACAATTACAGCAAAAAAAATTGGAAATGGCACAGTTTCTCTGTATGTTCTTTAAACAGTCATAGGGACTAGCTATTTAGAATTAAAATTTAAATATAAGCTTGGTGCCCCCCATTTCTAACTTTAGGTATTTTTTCAGGCTAATGGAATGGTTAAACTAACAGCCCCTTCCCTGCTCAGTTTATTAAACTGTCATATAAAACAAGGGTGAAAATAGAAACATTGGAAGAGATCGCCTGTTATTCTATGATAAGGATTCTTAGAGCATTTAGTATCTAAACAAGAAAGTTCAAGTGGTTTCCAGGGCTGGGATATGACAGGGTTAACTACTGGTTCAGGATTTACGAGGCTCGGTGATTTATGATGTGCTTCCCTGCACTCTGCAAGCCGCACACCTGTAAATTGTCATCAGCATGCTGTGTGCAGAGAAGCAGCCTTTGAAATAGCCCTCTTTTCCTGCTTTTTAAACTGTAGCTGTGCCTCGTTCGGCAGCTGAAGTTGAAAAATCAGGAAATAAAGATCAGGCAAGAGCCCAGGTGGGCGGGTGGGCAAAAACATCAGTAGACATAGAACTGGTTCTATGGCTGCTGCTCTTCAGAGCTACCGGTTCTACAGAGGTGGACAGAACTGGTAGAAACCCACCCCTGGTTTCTGCATAATTTTGTACATTTTATTTTAGATGTTTTAAAGTTTCTTCTGAACAGAGTACTCAAAGAGGTTTACATAAATGTATAGCATTCCATGATTAACCCAATGGAGTAGAAAGGAAACAAACACATATGCTCAAGGATAAACAATGGTTTTCCTTTGTTTCCAAAGGAAACAAAAATTTCTAACAAAATATAGACTAAAACTTCTTAAAACATTGTGGCCTCCAACCAATGGTGACAGATAAATAAAGAGGGCCTAAATGTAAGAAACAATCCTTGTACTGGGTACTGTAACAAGAAGTGCTCCATTCTCATAGATGTGAAAGATGTCTGTATCTGTTTTGAGACTGTTATTGATGTCTTGGGGTGGGGTAGGTTTCAAACCCAGTCAATTCAATTTCATTGGTCAGATGTAAAATATGCTGTGGTACATGTAATCTTGCAGTACATGTAATTGTTAATATTGCTGTTCCATAATTAGCTGATTTCCTTGTACACAGAATAAAGCAAGGGAAGAGTGCCAGTTTCTCATGTCTTGCTAGGGTGGGTGGCTCTCGAATTTAGTTTTGACAGAGCTGCATTGTTACACGGGCCATTTCCTCACTTGTGATTTATTTATAGCATCATCTAGTATCACCCAGCCACTGTTGAGGCAATATAGAATTTGTCCTCATTACTATTATCTTGCCCAACAATGGCTAGATGATGCTGTAAGATACTATAAATCATTAAAGAGAAAATCACTAAAGACTGGACTTGAAGAATCTTCTCATTAGCATGAATACAAGGTGAACTGATGGGAGACAGAGTAGAACATCTCTTGCCGATTTAATGGAAACGTCCTTTTAAGGAAATTGTCTCAGATAATTTTTGTGGTAATAGGAACTAGAAATATCTTCAGTTTCATCAGTGGAGTGACTGCTAGTGGCATTGGTATAAAGTCTGAGTAACATGTGCCCAAGAACCAGCTCTTGCCCAAGAACAACTCCTACCAACATTTCTGCAGCTGTGTTTTGTACCTTCTCAAAAGGTACAAATTCTCTGAGAGAGTGTGATATAAGTAGTCATTTACTGCACTTTAAAAAAAATAATCCAAATCTGGTGTTCCAGATGGGCTAGAACTATGTGCAATGGAAAGACTAGCCTTTGAGACCCACACATTAAGGTAATTTCTATCACCACCTGCTTTAAAAACTTGTTCTTCTAGGAGAAAAAGATGATTAATTTGGCAGTTTGAATCTCACCAGCTCAAGGTTGACTCAGCCTCCCAACCTTCTGAGGTTGGTAAAATGAGGACCCATATTGTTGGCGGCAAAATGCTGACTCTGTAAACTGCTTAGAAAGGGCTGTGAAGCACTGTAAAGTGATATATAAGTCTAAGTGCTATTGTTAGTGCTATTACTATTCACATATCTAGCACAAGTCTTTATCTCTGGTGACATATATCAACAACACAGCATTTTATAAAAATTCCTTTTAAAATTAGAACATAATGTAATTTTCAACTGTTTTAAAAGGGGTATTCATTTCTCCTATAGAAATCTCTTTCAAAACAATTATATCTTATTAATTTACAATCTTGTATAAAAATGCTATTGCAGAACTTGATTCCTTGTCATTTTCTTCCTAACAAAACACAACAGAATATTCCTTGGCTTTTTTCTTGTTCTATCAATCTAGAATTTGTTTTTTAAAACTTTATCAGTTTCTGTCATCATATTTTCGTCTTTCCAATCGAGAAAAATTGCCAAGACTTTAATATTTTTTGTCTAATATTTTGATCATAAGCTTCCAATAAATTATATAATTCCTCCCCCAGGTCTTTATCAAGCACTTCTCTCTTATTCTCCAAAATTCTCACTTTATCATTGATTTGTTTTACCTTTCCATATATTTGGTTTATAGAACTATCCAATTTGTAATGATTTTTTTCAAGTCCCTTTTTATCTTTGCAAGTTGTTCTTTTTCATAAGTTTCTATCTTAGAGCCCTTTCTTCAAATAATTTCTGAAGCAAATCTGGTAGCTGTTTTCTCTCAAGGCTATTCTAGAAATCTCCTCCTGCCCTCTGTTGCAATTTTTCTAGTAGTTGCCATTGTATATTAAAACCAAAACTGAAAATATCTCAAACAAGCAAGAGGAAAAGGAAGGCTTCCCTCTCCTCATAACTTCAACCCACATCACAATTGCACCAAAATATCACTGTCTAGTTTAGTATCTTATCTTTTGTTTGTATAGAGTCCCCCAGTTAAATGCATATGTTAATGATAAACAAAAAGCATTCACACAAAGATCTGGTTTCTTTAAGCAGCTAAATTCAAGTTTATGCCAAAGCACGATCCTCAAAAATAAAAATAATAACAAACAGGAAAATAACTGTTCCTTTTATCCATTTTAAAACTCCCTTAAATCTCTTTGTTAAGCTTTTTGCAAAATGTTCTTAAGTCTTAAAATCCTTAGAATCTCTTTTTATTTTGTAATCTTGAAAAAAAAAGGTTTAAAATAAAATAATCTAATCTATGCAGCAAAGGAAATTTGTAGATTATTATTTCCAAAAGTGGTTAAGAAATTAGGCTAGCAAGGGTTGATGTTTGGGTAAACTACACTGCAATTGTAAGCATGCATGGAATTCTGAGACTCCCTGCAGTTCAATTCCTGAGCTGATGCAAAAACTTTCATTTCTGTAGTTTACCCAGGAGGATCCACTTTTCAGAGTGCACAAAAGTTATCTCATGATCTCCCTTGGATGAAGGGAGCGCCCATCTTCCAGCTGGCATTCTTAGTTGTTGTGTCTCTTAGTTTCTTTGGAGACATCAGACTGTCATAATTCCTTCCTGGAAACCCCATAGTCAGCATCTCCATTTTATGCTGTATACAATCCACAAGAACTGACAAATCTGACCCTGCCCTTACATAGAGAAAGAGAGAGAGAGAGAGAATGGCTTTTGATCTTACTTGCTAGACATTCTGATGCATGGCGTTTCCTAATAATGGCAACTATCATTAAATATAATAGTCTCTTTATTGGCACATGTCTGTGAACAGAAGTAATGCAATCCTCTTGCCCAAATTCCTTCTAGAAGATAGAAGGTGAGATGTTATAGACTCTGACCATTACCTGTGCACATCCTTTTCAAATTCCAAACAATTGTATAAGCATAGAGCACTCTTGTAGTTTTAATGAATGTACTTAGTTGCATAGTAAAGCCTTGCCATAATCTCCGTTTCCATATACAAATACTGATACTTCATCTGCAAAGACCCATCCTTCTAAAGGTGCAAAGTTTAACACAAATATTGATTTACAACCATATCAGAAATTAGATATTTTAATGACTGATTCCTTTTGTCTACATTGTATATGAAAACCGTTTTTTTCAGGATAGTTGTAAAATTACAGTCCATATGCATATTTTAATTACACAGATAGTCCAGATCCCATGGCTACTTTCCATATTGGCATTAATGTCTTTCATAAGGATACTTGAGAACATAAGCAACCCTACCTCCCCAAATTCTGTTACTGTAATCTTACAATAAAGGTAGTATTAGTACTCATGGTTTTGGTTTCTTGTCTAGTCTATCTCAAAGGACTGGTATCAATCTTGCAAGCCTGAAAGATTTCTGCCCTCCCTTGCCTTTAAGAGAACTAGGAAAAGTCCCTTCTAAGACAACCTTCCCCACACCTCCCATTCCTTCTATGGGCTAATATATCTTTTGTCTGATTATTGTCTTTTGTCTCCCAAGGTTATTTTCACAGCCTTTACAAAAGGCCTTACTGGTTATTCTACCAAATATAGCCAATATGTCTATAGCATATTTCTTGACTGTTAATTCCTTTATTGCTTATAGTCAATCCTAAAGAGCAGAAGCTACTCATTACTTCAATAATTTCAAGTTAGCAACCGTATCTATTATCATTAGTTTAGTCTTCTTAATATTCATTATGCTCCCTGACTTTCATTATTGGAATTTCCAAGTCATTTGCATTTTCGACTATCATAATCCTTACCATATTATTGAGTCATAGTAGAAGAATGCACTCTTCTGAAATCTTCTTTTCAAATATCTTCTGCCTCTTTCCCGCCAATGATTCAAAATGTATTTTAAGCACAGGCTTGAGATAACAGAGCTTTGATATGGTAGAGCAGATACTTATATTTTGTCTACAGACCACTGGAATTGTAGAGCTGCCCTATTTTTGAACCCACTTCAAGTCTTCTCTTTTCCTGATTTGTTGCACTGTTTGGCTCTCTTCTTTTTCTTTCTTTCCTCACAAATTTTTCTGTTCTTATCGGGAACAACTAGCCTCCTCCCCCTCTTCCTCCACCAGCCTTGTCACTTGAGCTGACATCATGGGCTGAGAGATAATGACTGACCAACGTTACCCACCTAGCTTCCATGCTTTAAAATGGCATTAGAACTCACAACCTCCTGATTTCTAGCCTGTTATCTTAGCCACTAGATTAAATTGGCTCTTAATGACATATGAAAACATCATCTCATACCATTTTAATATTTTTTACCAAATGTTCCTGATACTATCAGAATAGGATCAGATTTTGTAATAGAATCTGTAGAACAATTTTGAGATTTAGATTGTTATGTTAATTTAGTCTAGTATCATCAGATGAACGGCAATCTTTCTCAATTTAGTACTGTCCAAACAAGTTAAACTGCTACTCCAATTATCCACAGCTAGTATACTAGCTAGAAGATGATAAGTGCTCAAGGTAGTAGCAAACAGGCCTAAGATCAATACTTGAGTGGCATGGGGCTGGCCAGAGCTTAATAAGACTGAGATTGTACTTTACAGCCTCCTGCACCATTTCCTTCTTTGTTTTCTTTGGTATTACCAGTATATAGATGGGTGGCAGGCAAAACATGCATTTCATTGCAGGAGCTCATTTATTATTTTAGTTTTTAAAATTTTATCTTTATAAATTGTACTTAGTATTCTTAAATAATTATCCAGCACAGAGCTGACAAGCATCCCTGCCTTTAAATAATATTCCAAAGGAAGGCAGGGCCAGGTCAAAAACTACATTTAACTACATTTAAATTTAATCCATATTAACACAAATTAAATAAATATGGTTTACAAATTCTTAGTAAATTCTCTCTTCAGTCATATTTAAAATACAGGCTATAGGTCAGGTTCTGAAAATTATACCCAATGCTTTTAGTAGGGTTGAGCCCTGCTGATCTATTGGCAGCAGTAATAAAACATGTTCTAAAATTCACTGCAAACAGAACAGCATAGGGCTGTATAAAGTTTTAGACCTGATTCCAGAAAGATACTTGGGGGAATGCTCAAGAGGTTGCAAATTAAATTATCCATTGTTGATTATTCTTGTAAAATGTCATAGGTCCATAGTCAACTAAGTAGTATATAAGTGAGATGAGTAGCTAAACAAATACCAGTAAAAAAAAATTAACACCTGTCTAACCAGCTTCATCTTTTCTCAATGTTGTGTAGTGATGACACAACTGCTTCAAAGAGTTACAAACAGGTGCTACATTTGCACTGCCCTGTGGTTTAAAGCTCTTGTTCAGAAACAAATGCAAATCACGGAATAACTTTTGAACAAAATGGTGAGTTGATCTGGAATATATATATAGCATTAGTGGGGCAGAGAAAGGCTTTCCCCTGTAGTGACAGAAACCTGGCTTTAAGAGCAACGATAAGGCATCTTGGCTGAGATGGTAGTGATATTAGCATTTTCCTATCACACACAAAGTCAGGCTATCAAAAAGGCTAAGGAAGAGGAGTAGAGAAATGCAACAGTGAAAGCAGAGGCTAGTACACAAATCCTTTTGAATAAAGAGGAAATGTCTGAACTTTTTTTAAAAAAAAACGTAAGCTCCATCTGGCTTGTCCTTTAGCACTCTGGGAGATTTATGCTGCCTGCTGTATTTTCCTTCCGTCCCCACCTCTGTCCTGGGCAAAACAATGTGCAGTCTGTGCAGTGAGCCATTCCCTTTGAATCCTACCGCAATGACTTTCTTCATTTCTCATTAAATGGCTGGGAGAAAGCCAGCCGGAAGTGGACTCATCTCCAACAGGGATTCAATCGCTTCTTCTCTATGCACATGGCGCTTCCAGGAACGTGCCTACTTTCAGCTGCCAGTGTTGTTCTCCTCTTCCTGTTTATTTGATGTGGGGATGGTGGTAGTTTTAATTTCTCAAACCCATCTATGCCTTTTGAAAAGAGAGAGTGGGGAGGGGGGGAGGAGGGGGAAAAGGTCACAAATCAGTTCTTTACACTTGAGAAATGGAGTAATAACAGGTGGCAAGATCAGAGGCAGCCAGAGCCTGGAATTTTGGTTGTCATGGAAACATGTCAGCCTGTGGAGAGATGAGCTCTGTCAGCAGTAGGGGGGGGGAAAAGCACACGAGGGGAAACTCAATGCCATTTACCCTGTAGGTTCAGATTGTATGTCAGCTGTCCCTCCAAGGGATGAAGGCTGGAAAGATATGAAAATGGGGAAGCCAAATCCCGCCCACAGATTGGAACTGTTCAAAACCGGGTTCCTGCACACCTTAGCCATCAAACAAAAGCTTTTTGTTTTTTCTTTTTGCAAAGAAAACACCCCAACCCTATTTCCCATTGTGTCGTGTGCCGTTTGGTCTTCGTGCCAACAGAAAAGGCTCTGCTGGCAGGTAGACAAGTTGCACTAGAAGCAGATAACAAATTTCACATTGCAGATGCTATTATAGAGGGTAAAAACTGGTAGCAGTTTTTCTGGTTTTCTGGTGAAATGCTACCCAGAGTATTAAATTCAAAGAGTGTTATAATGCTCTGTGCTAGAGGATGTGTGTGTGTGTGTTTCTATAGCCCTACTCCACCTCAAAACCCACCCTTAAGGAAATGTACTTTAAAGTCCTGGATAAAGGTAGAGGACATCTTCAGGAATTAGCACAGCCCAGAGATAGTTTAGCATTTATTGTCCAGCATGGGAATAGGCCCAATTGGCAAAAGACAGTTCAGGACAGTATTGGTTTGAAACATGCAGAAGAGGCTTTCATCTTGCAATAGACAGAAAATGGCTAAAATGATGATGGATGGCAATGATGGGGATTGTGATAGAAATAGAAAGGAAAGGAAGAAGGCAAACCAGAAACGAAACTCTTGCCTTTCTCTCTGAACATTTCTAGAAGGCCTCATTTTAAAAAGTGAGGATGGTGATCCAAAGCTTCTTTTTAAATTAAAAGAATAAAACCAACTGCCACAGTTGATTTTTGAGTAGCAATTCATAGGAGCTATATAGATCAGTTTGTTCCTTAACTTTGAAAATATATGTGAAATTACTGATGTGATACTGTTTACCAGAGCCAATAATCTTTGGCCCCATAGTAGCTATATCCAACACAGCTGAGGGTCAGAAAATTTGTGATAGTGGCCAAGGATGAGGATGGAACTGCTATGGCTTCCATCTCCCTCCCAGATGTTCTCATGAAGATAAAGGGCCATAGTGGTCAGGAAAGAATAATGGCTGTTCACTATTCTTGAATTCTGACACACACAAAAATTGAATTGTATTCCTACTAAGTTGGTTGAACTTAGGTCATCCTTCACTCATATAGTAGTACTAAAGTAAGAATTGCCATGCCTGCAGGCTGAGAACCATGCTGATCTTTTCAGGACCATGGAATGGATTCAGGAAAAACAAGTGAATTAGTTCAGGATGAAGATGATATTTGGTGTAATTTAACTTATTAATCAAATAATTATTTAATAACATTACTAAATAACATTAATGTGATATTTTGTATTCCATTTATATGTATTGTGTAGATACTTAATACTTTTCTTCCCCAGTTGCATTAAAAATTATATCTTTTGAAGCCATGCTATATCCAAGGCTTTTGGGAAAAACATGGTTTTGGATTCATGTGTGGTACACTTTCATGCTAAACAATGAGATTTATTTATTTTTTCTGGCCTAGAACCTATCGCAAGAAAGAAATGGTGCTCATAAGCCATGGTAAATGACTTCATATATCATACTAAGCCAAAGATAAAACACATTGTGGCTCACTATTGTATAATAATAGTTTTTGTCATAATTATTACTGCTTTTGAGCTGTATTACACTTTAAAACTTAACTGAGATCCAACTACTTTAATTTCTTTTGGAGAGCCAAAGGATTAAAGTCCAACTTTGATCCTTTGGCTTTGGCCAGTTTAAATTTTCAATTGATAAATACACTGTACAAATACAACTAAGTTAATAAGAATAAAAAATACACATGGAATTTCTCTCAGTTTAAAATATCATACTTCTACCTACAGCCCAAAAAGGACCAGATGGGGCCATCATTTCCAATAACTACTGTGATTTCTGCCTTGGAGGATCTAATATGAATAAAAAAAGTGGACGACCAGAGGAGCTTGTTTCATGTTCGGACTGTGGGCGTTCTGGTAGGTGATATGTTATTGCAGCTATCTGTGAGCATTAAGCAACAACAACACTCTTTTCATATATTTATGTTTATACAGATAAGATTAAGGGATTTTTGAGTGGATTATATTTTACAATATATGATTTAATGCATACTTTAAAACTAATGGAAAACTGCAAAAGTGGAAAGTCTTGTAGAAAGACATTTGTTCCCATTTAAATGAAGACAAGATTAAAGGAGAGTTTTTCTCTTCACACATTACATTTGGTATTCAGTGATGTGCCACTCAAATTTTCTACAGCCTGGATTATGATCAATGCAATTGATCATTCTTTTTGTCTCTGTCTCTCTTTGTCTTTCCCTTTCTCATACTTGCACACAAACAAGCACACCTCAGATTATGGGGTAAGGTTGAAGATGACTGTCTAACTTTTTTTTTTTTTTAGAATGTAACTTTTAGGGAGTTTTTGATTTCTCCATTTAATATATATGTTTGTATATGTATTTATGAGTGTGTGTTTTATATAAATTACTTGCTCCATCATAAATACTTTTTATTCTTTAGAGGTTGTGTTTGAATATTTTTATTTATTTATTAGAATTAGAATTTATCCCAACTTATTACTTTATGAGTAAGTTGAATATTATTTTAACAAAGAAAAAAACTGAAGTTTGTAAAAGCATTGTTTTAAAACTCATTAAAAAAAAACACTTTAAGGCTTAAATTAAAAACACATTTTTTGAAAAAGTATACATGCAGCCCTTCTGTGACAAGGTTTTTATTTCTTATTGTATTTCTTAAGTTTCCAGAGATGTTATATATGACAGGAACTATTTTTTTGTGTTAAATATGTATATGGATGGGGATAATAATGCAAGTGTATGCACTGCATATACACAATATAAAATTGAGTTTGTTGTTTCTTCTGAAAATTGTTAACTTGAGTCTGTTGTCAAAACAATGCCAAAGCTTTTTTTAAAAAAAATATCAGAAATCCTTCAGTAACTTCCCTTGATTCACTAAATAAACATTGCCAGCAGCAGAATGGTTTTGTATTTTTCTGGAGCTTTATACTTATTAAAGGGACAACAAAGAATTGTGTAGCACTTTAAAGAATCAGCTTCATAAAATTAGTTCAGCCTTAGTCACCCAGTCTTTTGGAATGAGTGACCATAATAAATTTAATAAAATTAAAGCTGAATAAACTTATCCTGGGTAACCAAATTGTGTGTATGGATCACACATGCATATATGGACATATTATAAAAACATGGCTACAGAATGCATTTTCAGTCACAAAATGCAAGCAAGGGATTTCTATGTTTTACATGGCCACTAACACGACTGGGCAGGGGAAACCTTTACCTTTTATCCCTGACCTTATATACGTGTTTCTTGTTCTCCACCAGAATAAATCACATGACATATTCTCTAGCTACACTGATTTCAGGATTTTGGTTGCAATATTATTTATCTGCTTATTTAACAGCCTTTATACTCTGCTGCAATCAATTAAATTCTCAGCAAATTACTGATTTCTATCAGGCCATCCTTTCTGATTTCTATCAGGCCACATAGCCCATTCAGGTGGAAAAATAGACAAAACACAACAATATTGGAGACAGATAATGTCAGATTAATCCTAGAGTGGGAAAAAAGCCTAAACATCAGATGTTCCAATTAGCATAATTTAAACATGATCAATTATGTAAAGCCCTACTTGAACAATGTTACATTTACTTGAACAGTAGGCCTGTCCTTGAGCATTGTGGGTTTTCCCTCATCTGAAAGAACTATTGGTATACAAAAACAGGCTGCTGATCAGACATAGAAACCAAAGGACAAAAAACTTGCAAATCTGAGGCTCTGTCAACCCAACCATCAGTTTTATTCATGCATATATTTACAGAATGGTATTGTAAGATCTACAATTCCTCAATATGTGTTACGCTTGCATAAAAACTTGGCAAAGAGACATTCTGGTTCTGAGTAAAGATCCATCTAATCTAGTATTCTAGCACACCGTAATAGCCAAACAGATGCAAATGGAAAGCCCCAAACTAGGATGTTAGTGTAATAAATCCCTCAAATGTCAGTCTAATATAATATAGATATATTTTTGGTATCCATTGAAACTGTGATACTATATAAACATAAGTAGTATTTACTGATATAGATGGCTGTTCCACAGTACTATCTGCTATCTAATAGAATAAAAAGGTATATATATGTACAAAAGGCAAAATTGCAGTGCATGTAAAAAAAGGCAGAAATTTGTGCACAAAAGAAATATTGACTTTTTTGACCCTTTGCTATGGACATCCTTCACATGACATCATTCTGAGGATTTTGTGGGTGTTAGGGAGAGTATAGTAACCATATACTGGCAGCTAATAAAAGGAATACAGTACTATCTTTGCTGCTGCCAGCATAAAAAGCAGTGGCAATAATGTAAAAAAATGAAGTGAGTGGTTTTAGTTTCATGTTGGTCCTGAAAATTAAAAAAAAAGGGGTTTTGTGCTGTGTCACATAAACATATCCCTTTTTTTCCATGGCCAGTTGACTTCAATATTTAGAGGGCTCTTCCCTCTATTTCTTTATATCTATATCCATATGTCTGTGTGATGCATGCATTCATCTTAGGAAAGTTCATGAAAGCTTGGGTCACTTTATCTTTAAAATATCACAAGATGTTTTAATTTGCTACACCAGGAAAGCATAAATTCCTTCTGGATATTTTTTTTATTGAGAAAAATTAATACTGACCATATTCATTGTCTGTGAACCACCACCCTGAGGCAGAATTTTCAATATACTTTACTTCTCATGCTTACTTTTATATAAAAAAGGTTTTTTTTATCTTCTTGTTTTCGTGTTTGTAATCCATCTTCAAAATATGCCATAGCAATCTGATTTTATATATGGCTTTCTAATGATAATATAATTATACTATTAATACAGAGTTAAGGAATGTATTCTGTAACATAATGTTTCTGATATATATTAAAAATTATATACTGTATTAGAATTTTTCCTCCTCTCTTTCACTCCTGCTTTGAAATGTTTATTTTTTTTCTTATATAAGATATTTTTACAAAGACTTTTATTGCAATATGTATTTATTGTTAAAAGTATTTTCCATTTTAATTTGCAAAGAAGTCACACCGCTTAGGAGAACTGGTACAGAAAGAGAACACAATGAGGTTATTTAAAAAAATATATATGCAGAACTTATGAAATGGGTTATTATGCTAAAATAGAGTGGTTGATATCAAATGAAAGATAATCATTGTACCCTGCTCCTTTAATGGATACACAATATAAACTCTGGGCTCAAGATAAAATTACTCATAATTACAAAAATATTTTCTGTGTGTTTCAAAAGAGAGGAAAACAGGGTTAACCCTTTTGCTGCCTTAGATATGGGGCATTTGGAGTGGTATGATTTTTTTTAAAAAATATATCAGTTGTTTATAATTTCTCTACTACTCATGTTTTGTTTTTATCGCTTTGCATTATTGTCCTGAATATATGTGTTTGTGTGCATGTGTGCATGTATACACAGGCATATATACATATATATTTATGACTGAAACAACTCTTATATCTGAAATTTCTAATCATGATTAAAGTAATGTTAATGAAATAAATCGTGATGCCTGTTACTTAACCCATGTGCTGATATATTCATCATACATGTCAGCTCATTTGGGAAGAGAAAGCAGGAAGGACGAAGCGGCTGCAGCATATCCCACGGAGGACTTGTTCGGTTCCACCTCGGAAAGCGACACCTCAACTTTTCATGGTTTTGATGAGGATGATTCAGAAGAGCCTGTCTCAAACTGGAGCAGCAGCTCCCACTCTGCAAAGAAAAAGGGCAGTTGCTAAAATAACTAAAGCACACAAACTCTATGAATGACATTTTCTGCCCTTTCTGCTACTCTTAACTCTTACTGTTGTTACTGCGTGTTTTTTTTAGAGCCACCCGTTTTCACTTTGGGGCGAATACACTGAAAGCACAACAAACTAATTTTTTTTAAAAAAAAAACCCCTCTGAACTCTTTTTTTTGGACAAGTTTATTTTCAATATTTCCTTAACAGCGCAAATGTGAAATGTGGATATCCTTTTTTTAAAGTAATAAGTAAACAATTAAATAAAAGAGCGCTAATTTTCTCAGCTTTTAAGATATATATAGATATAGATATTATACACAGAAACAACACAAAATCAGAAGGGTTGGACATCAGGAGGTACCTATCTCAAATAGTGTTTTAAATATTTATTTCTATATTCTATATATTATTAGAAGAAAGACTTTTGAGATTAAGGCAAAAAAAAGCATGAAATCTATGCGGTAATCTAATTATTAAAAAAGAGAAACAATGATAGTTTGAATAGTTCAAGATGAAAAGGAAATCCAAATGTTTGCAAGTGTGAATTTTGCACTGCAAAAATATTGCATTTATTGTAGCACACTGGATTTTTTTTTCCTATTCCCTTTTTGTACTACTGCTATGTTCACCTCTAAGAATATGCCAAACACAAGGACGATTGACAAAATCACAAACACAAATTTCCTGCGATTTTCATTTGGACACATTTTTATGTCTTCATCTATCCAAGCTTGGCATCTTTTTACCAGATACTGCTTTTTGGATCAGTTTTGTTTGTTCTTTCCTTCACCATTTTAGAAAGAACTTTCTGAGCACATCTGTGGAATACATCCGTTATTTCTGTGGATGAAATAAATAATGTGAATCTTGAAAGAAATGAAAAGAAAAAAATATACCTCATGTTCCTTATTTTATTTTTTAAAAATAATATTAAAAACCCATTTAGTCTTATTTTTGATATTTTTCTTGAAATAAACCAAAGCAATACTCACTAATTTTCAAAGGGCAGCAGAGAATACCGAAACTGATTTGCTATTCCAGCAACATAAATTGAACAGCAGGATTAAAAAGGTAAGTTGCAAAATAAGCATGTTTTGTTCTTCATTAAATGTTTGTGCTTTGACATAACCACTGTGGCTAGTGAAACTCAAGGTAGAGATACAAATAAGCCAAGATATGAATGAGATAAGAGATACCTTTTTGTGATACAACCAATCAAACAGGAAGTGTCTAATTAATATTAATATCTATTGTTTTTAAATAGGGAAATGATGGCCACCAACTTCAGAAAAATCCAGGATATTATTTAATTTTAATTACCTGGATTTCAAAATTGAAAATCAGTTTCTTGGTTCAGACAGAATAGTAGTTAATGTGATACTTCCTACTTTGTAACGAGATTAATGAAGGACTGAATAGATAGGCAAAGTACTTTTCATATTTCATATTCATAGTATTTATTGAGAATATTCATATTTTACATTAATTAAGATTTCATACTTAACTGTGGTTAATATACAAATTCAAAATGAAAATGCAATTTAGTTAACTGAATTATGTCCTGTTTTCTATGTGTCTATATAAAGTATATATATTTAAATCTTTGTGTGTTTTGATAGGCAAGTATAAGTAGAGATATCAGTAATTGTGCCACCTGGTATCACATAAACAAATACATTTGAAAAACTGGGGAATCAGAACATTATTGTATTCAGAATTCTGTATCATTTATTTTATTTTTATGCCTTATTTATTTAATTTAAATTATTAATTTAATTTAATTAATTTAATATGTGTCATAAGTAGGACATTAATATAATAGCCCCCTTGTATTTAAATATGGTACTTTTGATTGATGAAACAGAGCTATCAGTAGAAATAGCAATTCATATTTATTAATTTTATGAATACATAGTTCCTTTTAAACTTATCTAAATGATATGATTACTTATTTGATGATGCAGAATTCTGTTTATCAGTCCTGAATTTCCTCACATTTAGTTTCAGTGGCTTATTTTAAATTCTATTACCGTGTTTCTCCAACAATACAGCCTCCAAGAACAGGAAGGCCCAGCATGAATTCTAGGCATGAGGTGAAATTAAGCCCCACCCCCCCAAATTTAGGCCTATTTAAACCATGCGTTTCCCCACCATTTCTCACATCGTTCGTTAGAACTACACGAGGTGAAGAGAAATGGGAAGGGAAGGAGGTAAGAAAACTTGCCTTTAGGAGTGCCATGCAGGTAGCCTAGGCTAGAATACCCTGATCTACTACTGATAGAACATCGGCCGATAGAAGCTCCCCGAAAGCAGAGTCACCAGTTGCTTCTATTGGCTGGTAGAAGTGACCTCGGGGCGAGTGCCCATGCACATTCCCTTCACCACAAGGCCATTTCTATCAGCCAATGGAAGCTCCCCAAAGGCAGAGTCACCAGCTGCTTCTATCGGCCGGTAGAAGCTGCCTCGGGGCGAGCACTTGTGCGCACTCCCCTCACCACAAGGCCATTTCTATCAGCCGATGGAAGCTGCCCAAAGGCAGAATCACCAGCTGCTTCTATCAGCCAGTAGAAGCGGTTGGTGGCTCTGCCTTTGGGGAGTTTCCATTGGCCGATAGAAATGGCCTCGTGGTGAGGGGAGCGCACATTAGTTGTCTTTGAATCTACTAGCAGGGCAGGAGAGAAAGCACTCATGTATCTGTGTCTGGATAAAAATTGTGAGATTGCAACAGAGGGAATGGGAGAAAAGGCCTTAGCCCAAATGTGTTCCTGTTTTGCTTTCCTGCCCATTCTCTGATCAATCTCTCTGGGGCAGCTTTTGGCCTAAAATCCCAGATCTCCCCCAGCTAAAGGAGAGGGGAGGACTCCAAAGACTGTCCCTAACCTCCGCCATTTGAGAGGACCGAACTCATTGCTTCTCAAAGTTAGACCCGCAAGTTTTTCAAAAGTTCTTCTGAACGCCTTGGACGTCCGATGAAATCCAGAAATGTCTCATGATTGAACTCAATCAAAAAAGAAAAAAGAAACTGCACCTCGTCGCCAAGTCCCTGGTTTTACGGGTCCTCTCTCATCCCAAATTATGCTGAAATAAGGAATTCCGAGGCTAGCGTTGGTTAATTGGTTAATGATGGGCGCTCTTTCAGGCGCTCAGAGAGAGAGAGAGAGAGAGAGAGAGAGAGAGAAAAGGAGGCATTGCTGAAGTTCTCAGACTCCCCCCAACTGTTAGCAACACCACCCGTGAGATGTGGCAGGATTGCCTCGGATCATGTGCAAAGTGCCTTCACCGTTCAACTCCCCCCACGACTCAAGGTTCATACTAAAATTAGGCCTTTCCAACCAGCCCCTGCAAATGTTCAGCCCGCACCAGAACAATAGAAAAGATGGTTTAGCTTCTCCCTGGCCCTTCTTCACTCCAGCTCCCTCCTGCCCTCCTGTGCCGTGGTGGCAACCCTTTCACACTCACCCTGCTTCCCCACTGCATTCCCACGAGGACCACTTCCACGACTCCTTTCGGGAGCCTGCCCAATCTCCCTTCTAAGGGTAGCTGAGCTCTGCTGCCTCCTCTTCCCTCCCTGGAGGCTCCCCCACTCCCTTAAACCAGCGGCGGCAGCAGGTAAAGAGAGGTTGGCTGCCCTGAGACTTTGGCAGGGTGCCTGGAAAAGGTCTGGCCTGGAGAGGGGAGGGTGGCAGTGGGAACCCCGCAGATGCTGAGACCTTCCCTTGCCAGAAGAGCTTGGCTGACCCAGTGCAGGGACGAGGGCTAGCAGGGGTGGTGTTTGTGTGTGTGTGTGTGTGTGTGTGTGTGTGTGTGTGAGAGAGAGAGAGAGAGAGAGAGAGAGAAAAACTCAGCTTGCTTCCCTTCTGCTAAGAAAAGTTTGCAGCTGCTCTCCCATGTGCACTCCCCTTACCATGAAGCCGTTTCAATTGGCCGATGGAAGCGGCTGGTGATTCTGCCTTTTGGGAGCTTCCATCAGCTGATAGAAACGGCCTTGAGGAGAGCACGGGTGGGGAGGAGCTCCCTGTGGGCAGCCATGCCTCACCCCAAAGCGGCTGGTGACTCTGCCTTTGGGAGCTTCCATCGGCTGATAGAAACAGCTTCGTGGTGAGGTGAGTGCGCGTGGGTGCTCGCCCCGAGGCCACTTCTACTGGCTGATAGAAGTGGCTGGTGACTCCACCTTTGGGGAGCTTCCAGTGGTGGCCTCATGGAGAGGTGAGTGTGCATGGGGCGCTCTTGGTGGAGGTGCGCATGGGGGAAGAAATTAAGTTACCCCTGAAAAGACGTCCTAGCCATTTTGGGGGGTTCAAAAAAACATAAGACCCGGGCCTTATTTTATGAGAAACACGGTATTAGGAGAAAAACTTCTTGCTCAATACATTTTCTATTCTTTTTTAACTTAAAAACATCTTAGCAATGTAATCTCTTCCCACAAAACTACATCTTCATATAGTTTATATTTACAACTAATAATATTATATAAATAAACCTTCTAAATCTGCATCTATTTATACGCAAGCCAATGTTTTTCTTTGTGCTTTTTTTCTTTTTAATGATTAATAAGTGACCATTCTATAATCAAAAGCTTTTTCTATAAAGATTCTTAGTTGATACAAAACATATTCAGGATGCAAATAGAAGAAAATAAGTTTATGTAGACCTATGCTGGCTGGGGAATTCTGGGAGTTGAGGTCCCCCCAGTCTTGAAGTGGCTGCATTGGGAAACCCCCATACCTTAAACTAAGAGAAGAACTTGGCCTCTGGTGAGACATTTTCATAACCCCGCCCCCTTTAACCATAGTTCATGTTCTCATCACCCCTAGCGCCCAGCCAGCAGTGCCAAAAATCTATTTTTCCTAAAAATAAAAAAATAAAAAACCCCAAAACTGGAGCTTTCTCTTCCTAACATCTCCCTTACCCCCCATGCTTTGAGTCCCCCTCTTCCGTTGCAACACTCTTCCCCCACCCCCCAGCAAACAAACCTACTTTCAGATTCTGCCCTCCTCTCGTAATAATGGTTTATTCCTCCCTCTCCCCCCCCCTTTTTAAAATTGAACGAGTCTGTGTTTCATTCCCTTTTTCTGGATCTTCTCATTTGGATGGACTGAAGTCATTGCATTCTGCCTGAAATAAAAGAGATTCTTTTTTTTTCTGGAAAAAAAAAGATCTCCCCACATAGATTTAAATGCACAAGATCTTTTAATGCAACAACAAAGCAACTAATAATATGTTAATCCAAAGAGAATATATCATTCTTGTTTTCTGAATTTTAGTCAGACAGTCAAAACATTTTCAAGAGTTACTTGGCTACAGATAACAGTACTTCCAAAAGAAAAGGCTAACAGCAATGGGAAACAGATTTTTGGGGTGGGGGGGCACATAGTCTTCAATAATGAATTTACGTAATAAATTAGATTCCTTATTTCCTTGTTAATTAACCATATCTGTCTTTCCATGGGTAGGTAATCTAATTTTATTTAAAATAAACAATGGGGGTATATAATTGTATAATTATCATTCATTTTCACAGCCAAACAAGGTGCTCTTGTCTCCTTTTGGATAGATTTTACTATCAGTTGAAATTACTGCTACCGGTAGTGAAGAAGTTGGAATTTAGGAGCTTGGTCCTAAGTATTAGAAATGTGGGCTTGGCCTATCTAGGCACTACCCATTATTAGACATACTCTGTTTTAGTGTCATACATCCCCACAATTACAAAGGAAAGCAAAATACAATGTTGCAGTAGCCTCTGAAATGATAGACAACCTAGTAGATATTAAGTAAAAGAAAATGTTTGTTCTCCTACCATCAGACTTTCAGAACAGTTGTCCAGGAGGATAGCAAAATTAGTGATATAATAATTTGTCCTTTCCCCATATAATCTCTGTCTATGCTTAGAGCCAGTATAAGGAAATGAGTGGTTGTTTGAAAACAATGAGTTTAAAGAGGAATACCTTTTAATATACCATGAACTCTAATAGTAGATGAAGACTAATTTGAGTATCAGGTTGCCTAATAAAGTTTACAAACTAGATTTGATAAAAACTAGTGTCTCAAATTACCTACTGTAATCCCAAAATATCTAAAAATAATGCTCTCTCGCTTCTATGCAGGATAAACACATAGTGGCATATTGATTTATTTCATCTTTAATCTTCTGTCCCTCAGCAAATACTCATAAGTGTTGTTCATTGTTAGTGGTTGTTCAAATTTGCATTTTTTTCAACTTCTGGCTGTAGTTTCAAAGATGTAGCAAATCATCCCTGCTAATGCCTGAAGCAGATCAGAGAGCTAATACACACAGCCTGTGCAAGGGACACCATCTGTGAAAAATGCCTTCTGTGCCTGCTGTCAAATTATAATCTGGAAAATTATTTTTATCATTGTTGTGGTCAGAAACAAAAACAAAATTTGTTGTCCAAAATTTGAATTAGTCCTAAGTATAATTTGGTTTGTTTCTACAACATCCACAGTCTGGCTGTTCCATTATACATTAACTATATGATAAGCCATATTCTGCCCTGTGGCTGATGTTGTCATCAGTCATGAAAATACCAAAAACAGGTTTAAAATGAAAGCTCTCTTTTAAAATGAAGATTTACTTGAAGGAAGGCAGAATTCTGTACAGCACATTGTGAATTGTATAGAGGGAAAGTAAAAATCCGATTTCTTTAACATTAGAACTTCAATATTACTTCCTTTGTTTAGATTTATAGTCTCTCAATTTTAGGCTTAAAATTTAAAACAGTTTGTATAATTAAACATACATGGAATTTTGCACAGTATGATAATTTGTAATTGACATACATTTCCCAAAAATGTAGCTGCTGTTCAGTACATTTTTCAAATTCTAATGATTGAACAGATATATTTGAAAAGACTTCCTTATGGCCACAATCCAACAAATAGCTTGGTGTACTTATGCCCAATGAATTCAGTACTAGCTAATACGTAAGGGCCTATAATTGAAGTGGTAGAACATAAGCAAAGATGCCTCTGCTTTTAATATATTCTTGAAATGTGCCATGAGCAATCTCACATATGCCCCAAATCAAATTCTGGCTTTTGATTTTTCTCTTGCAGAACACTATTTCTATTTTGATTGGTTTTTACTTCTATCTCATTCTAACATCACTCAGGGAGCAGCATAAGCAGCTCTTTCCCAGAAGTTATAGCTAACAAATACTATCTTAATGTCCTTCATGAATGCTGAACCAACTACTCCCCAGTTTTCATCACTATTTGCTTCAGTCCACCAATACTTCTTCCAAAAGTATCTGCAAAATTTGGGATATTTTCTTTCTCTTTCATCTGTATGGATTATAGCCTGGGGAAAAAGAGGGCATTTTTGTAAGATAACCCTTCAGTTTAGTTGTAATCCCCTGCATAAAGTACAAAACAATTGTCAGCCTGCCCAGTAGGCCAGATCAGATGAGCTAATTTTATTTTACCATGGGGCTACATTAACAGAATCTTGCAAGTTGATATTGTAGTACAAATCTCCTGCCATCTTTTATACAGCCTGAGAAAGTAGGGAGTCTTCCTTCTTAGCTCTTCCTCTGTCCCTTATTCAGCTTCCCCAGCCAGCACTTGGTATCTGCTCCCAAGGTCATTCCCATATAACATTACAACAATAAAATTAATCTTCACTCAATTATTATGGTATATTCAATATGTTAAGCAAGGGGATCCTCTTTTCAATCAGTATCTGTGGCCTTCAAAGCGCTGGCCACATATTTTAAAGCTGCCACATATTGACAGATCTGAACAATGTGATCTGATTACAGAACACCATTTTGTCTTCATCAGAATCTGGATGATATGAGCACTTGGAGGATCTTCCCCCAAGGTAATAGTATGATGTCTCTTAAATAAAAGGAAATGTGCACTTAACAGGAAAAAGGGGGAAAAATGATCAAACTGAGTAACACAATATCTCATAGAATAGGGACAGAATACACCATTAACAGTGTTTATATATAAGAATATATAATAACTCAGTGACTAGTGAATGGTCTCATTGTCTATATATAGTCAATAGAGCAACGGTAGCCAACTGGTGGTCCACGAGAAAATTTTGGTGGGCTGCAGAGAAAACTTACCCCCAGAGCACCCCACAAAGCAATTATTCCAGGCTGTGCAGAAACACAAGGCTGCACCACCCACGTGGCCTGTGGGAACCCTCCCTGCCCACTTACTCCTTACCCCGCAAACTTACCTGCTAAATTACTATTGTTCCTTTTTCCGACCATTATCTGTTCTGCTGTGCCGGGAGATTTAGATTAGCTAGGAAGCTGGAAATGGTTGGATTTCTTACTTTCTAGGTAGTCTTTAGATCTTCAGCTCTGCTTTTAAGCACAGCTGAACTTCCCTTAGGACTGAAGGATCTGTTATTCAATGCAGACTCACGGCAAGCAAATTTTATGTGACAGACTGAGCTAGCCAATGGCAGAAAGATAGATCACTGAATGATTCTGTGAGCAACTCAATCTGCTTGCCTGCTTCTGCCTGATTTTGGGTAAAAGTTGCTCTTTTTTAAATAAAATATTCAATATTTGCATACATGGTGTGTTGTGAGTTAATTTTGTGAGTTTGCTTGCAAGCAAATTTTATGTGACAGACTGAGCTAGCTGATGGCAGATAGATAGATCTCTGAATGAATCTGTAATTCTTTGAGCAACTCAATCTGCCTGGCTGCTTTGCCTGATTTTGGGTAAAAGTTGTTCTTTTTTAATAAAAGAATTCAATATTTATATAAATATAATATTTACATACAATCCATGCCCAGCCAATCACATGACCACCAAGCCACACCCACAAATTAGGCCACACCCACAGAACTGGTTAGTGGTCCCTGGGATTTAAAATTTGGTGGTCCCTGAGGTCCGAAAGGTTGGCAACCCCTGCCATAGAGAATCACAGCTGACCATTGAGAATTGAACATCTTTAAATGTCATAAAAAGCTGGCTTCCAGAGAGTGGAGAAAGAATGGAATGGTTAGATAAAGATTCAAATGTATATATATATATATATATATTATATTTTATTGATAGGCACTACTCATTCGTTACTTAATCATAGATTTCTTATCACCTTGCATCTTTTTTTAAAGAAAATTTTTTAAATTCAGAAACCGAGTAATAAAATGCACATATCAAATGCATTCCTAATAAGCAACTTTGTATATGTTGTTTGGCCTGATTTTTAGGAGACATGTGAGTTAATTTGTAACACTTCTGAATTTGATTCAGGCATAGTATGAACATTTGTGTAATAAATCCTTCTGAAAATTTATCAAGTCCAAAAGAATTTGGTGATTATAGTGGTGCGCTTTTGAAAGAGTTATCATTGTCGCTATTTTTAGCAACTAAGAAGCTGAAGGATTGGTGCGTTAACTTAATCCCCTCGCAGATAGTTTAGGTGAAGAATAAACTGAAACTTTTTCATTTAGTTCCAGCATTAAAAGCAGGCAGCTATCATTCCCTTATATGGTCTACTATTCTTAGACTTGTCACATAATTCTACTTAGCTTTAAACTACTGTATCATGAATTTACAGTGTCAGTTCTTATTGTAGTAAAGTGTAGCCCCTACTCAGTAATGAGAGACTTATATTCTGAATATATTTTAGTTTGATTACTCCAGAGCTGTGAGGTGATGCAGTGACACAAAGCATGTTCCAAAGAAAGTCTTAGTGTGTTTTGGTTCATCCAGGCTTGGAGATGGGATTTCTTGTTAAATCAGTTATTGCTATTTTTTAAAAAAGAAAATCTGATTGCTGTTTGAAATATCTTTGAGTTTTTCCTTCTTTCTTTGCTTTTCTTCTGCAGATAATACCCTGTGCTTATTTGGAATCTGAATTCTTCATGGAATCTATGGAAGAAACCAACCAACCAAGAGTGTTCAAAATGCTCTGATCTTTCTCACATTGCCCGATCCTGTCTCACCTGTGTCTTGTTCCCACACGGGAGTTTGGACTGTGGAATGCCTGCTGGCACTTGCTCAGAGAAGTTTTGGGGGTTCCCTAAGCTTGTGCAATACAAAAAAATCCTTACATTTTTTTTAAAAAGAAAAATATCTTTAAAGTGTTGTGCAGGTTTGTGTGTGTGTATGCGTGTATATCTAAGCCCAGGTCAAACTGGAACTGTTCAACA